ACATAAAATGTCAAAATGCGCCACACAATGAACAATTAAAAGAAACATACAAAAATCACAAAGCGGAATTGAATAAAATTATCAAAACAACAAAAAAAAGATATGTACAAACACAGATAAACCAAAATCAAAATAAAAATAAAACTCTCTGGAATTGTGTAAAAACAAAATATTTGAGTTTTGCGTCCTATGTCAGTGGTCTGCCACACCTTGGTTCCCTTAACATAAACCAAAACATTTTGATACCAGAAGTAAATTCAATAAAATATCTAGGAATCACATTAGATCGGCATCTAAAATGGGACCTTCATACCAACGAGGTAACCAAAAAATTACGATTCTTCATCTCGAAATTCAGACGGTTGAAAGATTTTTTGGACATCCAAAACCTTCGGATGCTATATTTTTCATTTATACAATCGCAACTAACATACGGGCTCTGTGGATGGGGTGGTGTTAGGGACTATTATATTGGCTCTATGGAAATTGTTCAAAAGTGGATTTTGAAAATAATATACCAAAAAAAGCGTTTGTTTCCTTCAGATGAACTTTATCAAATATCGGGCATATTGGATATTAGACAATTGTACGTTCAAAATATATTAATGAACATTCATAAAGAAAACATTAAAATTGAATACCCTGCACATTCCTACACCACACGAGCTCGAAATAGAATGGCAGTTCCAACAAAAACACAAAAATCGGTTGGTCAAAGATGCTTTTCATATTATGCTCCAAAATTATATAATGCTTTACCTGAAAATCTTAAACAAAAATTCCAACAAAAAAATAAAATAAAAGTTCTTATAAAAAAATGGATTCAACAGACAGGACGACAAACATTTCACGAAATACTTAGATAACAAAATTAAATAATGTGTACCTACTTTTAATATGTAATTTATATATGAACTAAAATTTAAAAAAACCCCCGATTTTGACTGTTTTACATGATTTTGGCATATTTACCCAATGTTGACAATGTTAAACCAGGCTAAACAGATTTTTCCCGATTTGTGTTTTCATTCTTGAAAAAGAAATGATTAAGAATCTCAATCAATAAGATAGATATCTTAATTTAAGATAGGTATGTTTAATAATTTAGATGATAGCTGAGTATATTATATTTAAGTATAGTTTAAGTAAGTAATATAGATAATAGATAGCTACATCACGTACAAGCAGATTAATTTCTGCTTCTGTGATTATTGTTTATTTGCTAGATGTAAGTTTTTTCCACTGTAAACTTGCTATTGTAAACTTAGTAAATAAACTTTATTATTATTATTATTATTATTATTGAGCGATTTTATGAGTTATTTGGGATGATTATTTCGCGTAAGTTGCACGTGCCTCGTGGTAAGAATTTAACATCTTCTTATGTTTTTTTTTATCTTTATAGATCCATTTTTGATTATCCAGTTTGCTTTCGATTGGCATTAAATTGCTGCTGATATTCGCATTGGAATTTTCACTTCCTAATTTATTGGAGGGTCCAAATTAGAGTCCAAATTAGAGTCCAAATTAGAGTCCAAATTAGAGTCCAAATTAGAGTCCAAATTAGAGTCCAAATTAGAGTCCAAATCAGAGTCCAAATTAGAGTCCAAATCAGAGTCCAAATCAGAGTCGAAATCAGAGTCCAAATCAGAGTCCAAATCCAAATTCAGATAAGATCAGAGTCAAGCCCAAGAGGAAAATGTCTCCAAATTTTTCTAGGAAGATCCAACCCGTGCAATTACCAACTAGTCCGAGTTGTAGTTCGGGTCCACTTTGCGCCCATTTGATCTCTACTCTTACCAGAAAATATCCAGCTTCGAATTCGTCCAGAGCCCAATAAGCCAGATTTGGGACTTTATGGATGCATAGAAAATCTAACAGGTTTGCTAGAGATTAAGGCAGCTCAGTGAAAAACCAAATAAAAAAAAAATATGCTTTAACTTTCAAACATTTTCTTAAATTTTTTTTAGTTTTTGAAATAATGATTTATCTATATTAAGGTATAATGTGAATAGCCGATTTGGTATTTTTTTATTTTATTTTTATTGCGTATATTATTCAGGTATTTTTGAGTAAGATCCCAAAACCCCGAAGATTCATGAATTTTCCCCAGGTTTTCCGTGATATAATTATTTAGGGTAGTACAATTCAACCAAATAGTGCTATATATATTTAACAATCCTGTTCAATATCAAAATTTATCTTTAACTTAAATTTTCATAACTTTAATTAGAATCTCATAACTTTAATTATTACAAAATTCTACAATATTATACACCGGTGTAATTGTACAGTGTACAGTGTGTTCCTTACTGTTGTCCAGGAAAATAAAGTTTCATTTTTTGGGGAGTACTGAGTATTTGTTTAGAGTATCTTTCTTATTTTCAGGTCACAGTTTCAGGTAATTTTCAAATTAAGTTTTTCTAATTTTTTTTCTTAATTGACATTTCAACATTATTTAAACTCTAATAATTATGTAAGTAATCTCTCACTTAAAAAAATTAGTGGCGTCCAAATGGCAAGGTCAAAATCAAGCTAATATTATCTGAACCCATTTCCCAATGCCACTGATGAAAAGCTGCCGTGCTTATATGTTTAGTGGTTGTTTTCCGGAATCAGAAAAAATCAGGAAAATAATTGCTACATATAAAAAATAAATTTCCTGATCTGAGACAAAAAATCCAAAATGTGACAATATATCCAGAATGCGACGCTTTATCCAAAATATGATACCTTATATACTTAAAGTGAAAAAAAAAAAACGCCGAATGTGACTTTCAATACTTAATGTGAGATGAAATATATTTATAAGGAATGTTTGAAACATACATAAGGATCAATTTTGGAAATAAAGGTATTCCATATTTTAAAAAAATTAGTTCATTTATAAAACAGCTATACCAAACCCATACGGTAAAAAATATCAACTATACTTTAAGAATATTTGCCCAAAAAAGCAATTGAAAAAAAATATTGTTTTAAATTTTAAATCCCAAACTTTACTAAAATTATGGTAATTATTACTACGTCAAACATGTGAGTACTTTAAACGGCATGGCGGTAGGCATCAAAAAAACGGAATAGGTACGATAGATTCGATAGATTTGGGGTCTCCCAAAAGAGGTCCTAAAACAATTACAGGGATGTCTTAGTTTTAGTGTAAAAGATAGTTTGAAGGGTCGAAAAAATTGTGTTACGAAAAACGTGGTTAATTAAAATTATATAAGAAAACTCACCTAAAAATAGGACTACGGCACCAGAAAAAAATTAAATAACGCTAAGGCTATTTAGGCATCTTGCCTAAAGCAGAAACTCGGCAATTTCTTTTGTGAAAATTCATTTCAAAAAAATGTGTTCGAGAATTTCACGTGTGCTTCCATGGAGATCTCGGAAGGAAAGAGAACGTCTCGAGAACCACTTGATTTCAACATGGCCTCTGGTCAGAAAAAAAATGTCAACCCCTAAATGTTTTACTAACTTTTGCACAACTTGGCATCTGAATAAAGCCTTTAAAACATGAAATTAAGTAGGAAAGACATTCAAATTCGGTATCCTAATATTTGAAAATTAGATAATTATTCATCAAAAACAAATAAAAGAAATTAGAAATAACGCCGATATTCATAAAAAAAACACAACTTTCGTTGCTAATGAAATGTACTTTCCTCAAAATACACGTGACAACACCGCAAATGCAGGACAATTTTTATTGCAAGGCCGAACCACAACGTCAACGCGCATGCACCATATTCAAATCCTTGGATTTTCATAAATGACAGATGAAAAAAAAAACGTTTTAATTTTTCCGTCATTTCAATTCAATTCAATTCAAATAGTTTATTTATCAAAAAAAGTTACAATATCGGTATTGGTAGGTATACAATTTAGATTGATAAATAAAACAGGCATTAGCACAGAAGCAAAGTTAAATTGCTTGTTAGTGCTGTTTCATACTTATGGAAATGGTCGACTGCTTTTACTATGGCAAGCAACTCTCTTCTGGTGACACAATAATTTCGTTCCGGTTTTGATAAGGTTCTGCTGTAGTAGGTACCTACTCTACGACATGCTCTTGTGAATTTTGGATTTGTGAAAGGTCAGTTCCAATACTGGTGTTGCTTGCATCTGTGTCCAAAATTAACATGCTTTTCTCATCAGGATAGGACAACACTGGGCTTGTACATAATGTTTCTTCCAAATTTTCATTTTCTAAAAGCGGAATCGCATTCTTGGGTCCAATTGAATGTTGTTTTTTATTTCGTTAATCGATGAAGCGGAGCAGCTATATTAGCGAATCCTTCTATAAATCTTCGATAATAAGAACATAATCCTAGAAAACTCCTTAGTTCATGTTCGTCGCGTGGTTTTGGCCAATCCCCGACAGCATCTATCTTTCCTTCCATAACTTGTATGCCATCTTCAGATACCATGTGACCTAAGAATTCCACTTTCTTTTGGAAGCGTTATCGAGATGTTTTTGGAACGAATTTCCCATGATCATGACATCATCTAAATATACCAGGCAAGTTCTCCAACGCAGTATTTTTTAGATTTTCAGGTTTGAGTTCTGTACATGCTGGCGAACGCGCCACAATATCTTGAATTAAAAGTCTTTCATCATCTGGCATTAAACAAATCAAGAGCGAAGCTATCTCCTACTTCGATAGGATCCAGATAAGGTAATGCGAAAGTTGTTCAACAAACTTTATATAAATTTCACACAGAAGCTTACTGATCAACATCAAAACAACAATAAGAGACTAAAAGAAAAGGAAAATGTAATAAAAATCTTCTTGGACATGTAATAATTAATAATCCATTAGTACGATGTGGTTAAGGTACAGGAAATCCTAGAAATTGTATACCGGTACGAATAATGTGAAGAAATTAGTGAAAATTAGCATATTGGTTCATTTTACCTGAGCGGTACGAATCGCTATGTGCCCATTTAATTTCTGATGGTGAATTTATTTTTTATGGAAAATATACCCTTTTTGCAGGTACTACAAAACAGCGGATATGGTGCAGATAAGTTCATTATGATAAGAAACAACGACGGTACGGGTTCTCTGAAAATAATTCAACATCTCGACTTTGAAGATCCTCTTCAGAGCAATGGTTTTCGGTTTCGTATTCAAGTAAACGATATGGGCGAAAGCAACGAAACCGATAAATATCATGTAGCCTATTCATGGATAGTCGTGAAACTTCGAGACATAAACGACAATGAACCGGTTTTTGACAAATCCAATATAGAAATAGAGGTTTTGGAAAATGCGGAAGTTGGAAAAAGTCTGGTAGCTTTCAATGCTAAGGATCCGGATCAAGGTGGTAATAGTAAGGTAGCGTACGCTCAGTTAGCTAGAAAATATTATTTGAAGTATATTTTTTGCAGATATCATATGTAATTGATAAAAGTTCAGACAGAAGAAGACAATTTTCAATTAATCAAGAAGGCGTAGTTACTATTCAAAGACCATTAGACCGGGAAAAGATGCCACGATATGAAGTGACAATATTAGCTATTGACGATGGCATTCCATCGAAAACTGCTTCTGCTACACTGACTATAATAGTTCAAGACATAAATGATAACGCTCCTAAATTCCTAACAGAATACCGGCCCGTTATCACTGAACATGATGCTCCGAAAAAGGTAAGAAAGATACTTGCAAAAAAAGTTAAGACGATATAATCTAAATTCAATGCATATATTATTGAAAAATTTTCCAATGAAATATAGTTTTTCCTTAGGTTGTTGAATTATTTGCCGTTGATGAGGACGATAAATACAAAGGTAACGGGCCACCTTTTCTTTTTGAATTGGATCCCAGCGTTAGTGATTTGATTCGGTCCAATTTTAAAGTAGAACAAGATAAAAGTGAGTTGATAGTAAATACCACATACCACTAACAAATTTTTAGTTTTCGTCCTATATCTGACACTGAGTATTAATTATAAAAACTTTTAGAAGGTGCAAATGGTGAAGGTACTGCTATTGTAACATCGTTGCGATCGTTTGATAGAGAACAGCAAAAGGAATTTCACATTCCCATTTTGATTAGAGATAATGGAACCCCATCTATGATAGGCACCAGTACACTTACTGTAGTTGTAGGCGATATTAATGACAATAAAATGCAGTCAGCATCAAAGGATATATTAGTTTACAATTATTATCAAGGTGTGTTTTATGTTTTGAAAAATAGTGCTTTAGATTTAAGTTTAAAAAAATTTGTTAATATGAAATTGCAATTTTTGCTCACCATATAGTTATGGTTTTATAAAAAAGTTTCTCACAGCATAATATCTTTTGCAATAGTTCAAGCTGCCAAAACAGAAATAGGTCAGGTCTATGTAGATGATTTGGATGACTGGGATTTCTATGACAAAAACTTCTATTGGGCAAAAGACTCTGAGCATACTAGATTTACAGTCAATGAAGACACCGGAATGATATACATAAAACATGGAACTAGAGATGGATTGTATCACTTAAGGTTCAATGTAAGTATTAGGAATTTTATTTTTACACTGAGGGTAAAGCAAGCTTTGTAAGCATCATAGTAGGTAAGCTATAAAGGTGAGGTTTCTTTCCATTTTACCCTAATAGATGGGCTTTATTTTTCAAAATCACCAAATAAGAAAATATAGAATGCAAGTAGATTTTAGTTTTCGAGATGATTTCAGGAAGAAAGCAACGTATTAAAAGTTGAAAGTTTATTACCATCTACTCTGTTTTGTTCTCGTGATCACTAATCCATTAACTAAAATTGGGCAATGCCGCGACATTGGTTGGATAACCTAAAATAGGTATAAGGTAATGATCTGTCCTGATAGATCATTTATTTAGCTTGCATGCAATGACCAATTAATCGTAATTGATTACAAATTATAGTTTTATTTCATGAATAACAAATAAAATCAAGTTTATTAATTTATTTATTCAAATAATTATATTTGTCTATAGTTAGCTTGCCTTTTTGCTATGATTTTTGACTGTTCTGTTTCTTTCTCTTGTTTTTAAGATTTTAAATCAGTTGTATTTTTTCAGACATTTTTATCTTTGACGTCAATGACGTCCAATCTATATGATTATTTCACTCGTTTGTAGCATGCGAAATGCTACAGTTAGTATTTGTTACTTTTTTGTCTTTCAATGGCCGGGGAGGGCAGCAATCTTCCTCAAGTGTGATAACCGTTCTCATGGAAAAAGTACCTTACCGTCCGTCAGGCATTATTTTAACGAAATAAAGTTGCGTAAGGCAATAATCCATTAAATACCGAAAAAATTCAAATAAAAAGTCTCGTGATTACCGTTTTATTTGAGATTGAATTTCGAACCCCCTCGTGGGTTTTATCGGGGAGCTGTTTTTTACCGGAGAGCCGTTTTATCCGAGGAGCGTTTCTCCGTGGAGCCGTCTCTCTCAACGAATCTATTTCCAAAAGCCCACATTTTTAAAAAAACACCATTTTCGTGGAGCGTGGCATAGAGCTTTTGAAGGGATTTCTAGAGGAATCAAGTCCCTCACGTATTGACTCCTGTACCTCCACATATGACGACAACTGAGAGCTTCTAGCCCAAGGGCGTACCCAGGATCTGAAATAGGGGGGGGCTGACCAAAAAAAAAAAACAATGGATTTTGCATTTCTCTTTTTAATTACTAAATTTTGACATAACTCGCTTAATTTTTACTTCAATAACAATTTTCTTGGATTTGTCGCAAATTTATTTAAAACTTGATTTTCAAATTGCTCTCGATTTGATTTAATTAAATCACGATGCACACTCATGAGACATAATCCTGTTAACCTTTCCTCTCCCATGGTACTTCTCAACCAAGTCTTCACTCTTCGAAGAGTACTGAAGGATCGTTCTACAGTGGCCGTGGTGCATGGAATTGTGATTAAAATCAAAAGTGCCTGTTTTAGGATGGGATAAAAAACATCGGTCTCGTCGAGAAGGTCAGTTATTTCGACGTCTTTTAGCTGGTCCTCAGTTGACTTTTTTTCCTTCCACAAATTATACCATAGGTCCATTTCCGCAGTAATATCGTCCAATTTATAAAACTGGGTAAAATATTGTGCATTTTGTTCTACTTGATTGGTTTCCATGTCGAGCATATATAATGGATGTATTTTTGTTAAGGCAAACGCTGGAGTATGTTCTTGAGAAAAGCGAATATTTAAAGAGGCTATAATTGAATCCAGATACGGTATAATTAACGAACGCTTCCAGTAGTCACTATCACAGTCTGATGGAGGATTGTTTCTATGTATTTGCCTCTTGGTAATTCGAGGGATAGAAATTTCTATTTCCAATTCCAATGCAAAGTCTTGTGCTTTTTTAAGTACTTCATCAATAACTAGGTCGGCATCTTCACGGTTTTTCTTCAGAACGTTAAGGATTACGTTCAGATGTTCTTGCAACTTAATTAAATCCATAGTTTTTGCTTGCAAGGCATTAACAACCGGCTCCAGTAAAGCTGAATATTTTGCAATTATAGTTAGGGCAACAATTAGTGAGGGTTTGGTAACGGCGGCATGCAACTGGTACGCAGATTTTCTCGTGGCGTAGTTTCCTTCGATAGATAGTTTTTCAAGTGATTTCACAATTTCGAGGAAATTTTGTGCAAATAAGCGAATACTTTTGTATTTTTCAGACCATCTAGTCTCACACAGTCGTGATAGATTAGGAGCGGAACTTCTGCGAGTGGTGGATTCCCTGAAAAAGGTTATAACATCCTTTACGGTGCCAACAGTGTTTCTAATTTCCCGAACATTATTTGCATCATTGACAACAAGATTTATTTTATGGTTTGAGCAATGAAAAAATAATGCTCGTGTGTACTTTTTCCTTAAAATCGCTTATACGCCACCCTCTTTGCCCGCCATCGTAGCGCAGCCATCAAAACCAAGTCCTACACAACTATGCGGTGAAAAATTATAGCTAACTAAAAAATTGTCTATTGCATTGGCAATTGCTGGGGCATCCTGTGCTGTCAGCTCCACAAAACCCACAAATTCTTCTCGGACTTTTTTTTAACTTTCATCATAGAAACGCAAGCCAATGGATAGCTGCTCCTTTCCTGAAACGTCGGCTGTCTCGTCGGCTAAAACTGTGTAGAACATGGCTTTCTTGGCTTCTTCATATAAACAGCATTTCTACGACACTTTTCCAGGTGATTCTTCAATTTGATGTCGCCCGACTCAACTCGCAAATTCATTAGATCGAAAAAAACTCCCTCATCTGCTTCTTTTCCTCGTAGAGGCATATCGTGTGTGCCACAGAATACTACACAGGAAATAATAGAGGCCAATATTTGCTTGTTCTCTTCGATTGTTTTTTGGTGGAAACTTTAAACTTGAATGTCCACAGGTATATTTTCGAGAAAGGCCTTTGCAGCAGCAGATGCAGATTTGTGAAAGTTATTGGTGGCATGTTTACGACAATCTTCGTGCATATTCCTAAACTTCGTAAATGGTCTGATCATAAATGAACCTAACACTCCCCTTACTGTGCCAGTAGAAGGAGGAAATAAAACACAGTGCTTACACAGAGCACCCTTTAGTCGCTTGGAATACACTAACCATGGTGTGTATTGATCTAACCAAGCATAATTAAATTTTCTTCGCAAATGACTGGCATCGGCTGCAAAATCGTAATTCTTGGGTGGAACCCACGGATTTTTTAATAACCCTTTTTTTCTTTCCATCGTCAGGTGAAATGTTTGTCCTACATAACGACCCAAGTCATTTTCGTGGCAACCATCATTCTCTTCAATTTCGGGATTGACTACAGAGCCAGATGTTGACGGTAAAGATTCTAAATTAGGAGCAGTGACTTTCTTAGATCTCAAAGAATTTAGCGGTTGCTCAGATTCAGATTCAGTTTTAGATGGGCTTGGCGATGAAATTTGATCATTGTTATCATCGCTCCCGCTGCTACTGTCATGTTCTTTTTTCCTCTTGAGAGTTTTAGTAGCTGCAAAACACAATAATGCCGCTATTAGTATTTTATACAGTGTGAGTGATATCCATGTTAGTGTTTTGTTTAACATGTAACATGGAAAAAAACATTTTGTTTTTTTTAATTGGAATTTACAGATATTACACAAATGTCGTCGAATGTAACTTACTAACTGTAACTTACCTGTTTGAAAAAATTTCCTGATATCCATTTATCAGTGTGGAGATACCGAGATGCCCGAAATAGGTAGATTCAGCAGATTTTCCAATAAGTACTGTAACGTTTTTAGCGTGAACTTGTTCGACTACGATGTGATAAAAGCTGCCAATTAATTAAAACTATACTTTACACTTAACTAAAATTCACTCTGATTAATTTAACTAAACACACTAACTAGTTTATGTAACGCCTTGTATCTTGCATTTATTTATAAAAGTATTCTATTCTTCAACCCGGCACTGACGAAATCTGCCCTCGCCGCCCGACATTGTTCCTTTTATATCCGAAGCGCCTGCTTCTCGAAGATTCTCTCCGCAGCACGTACGAAGCTTCGCGCTGCGTCTCGAGAATTCTCCACGCGGCCGGGAAGAGTCAGAGGCGGACTCAGGGTAATTTTCGTTACAGTACAATCTAATATAAATTTCTGACAATGTTTACTAGTGTAACGTAACTGGTAACAACATAGCATAGACGTTTATCAACAACTAAGTAAATTAAGTTTACTTGCAGTACTTGCACAAACAAATTAACATTGAATAACAAATGAAAATAATCGAATTCCGTTAGAAAAACAACACAATACAACAAATTCGCAGGGGCCAGGATCGTAATAGAAAATTCATATTTCTTTGCTAATTCCGCTAATTGCAAATCTAGTAGGCTGTGCAGTGCGCTGCGTTTGACTTACGTAGGTATATGAATATATTTTAGTAGTATTTAGTAGTATATTTTTCGGGTTTGTAATTTTTTTAGTAAAACCATAGTGGTTTATTTTGATTTTTTTATTTTCTGCACTTAGCGGAGCCTTTTTATAATTTATAAGAATTTTTAGGGGGGGGCAGCTGCCCCCCCTGCCCCTCGCTGGGTACGCCCTTGTTCTAGCCTCTATCCACCCTCATTCAAGGCTAGAATCTGCAACTTCCATGTGCAACTTTTCTCGCGAAGTCACCGAAAATAGATGGCTACCGACTACCGTCCTCTACCTTTTGTTGGAATTGTGGCTTGTATAGAGTTTCAATTATAACTTTTATAACCTTTTTTTTTAGGGAATCTATTCTATGATCAATTACCATAATTGATTATTTTTACTTACATACACATTTAAAATCTCCCATTATTGACACCGAGGTGATGGTGGAATAATTAACTTTTGATTCACCGTATTTATTATAGATCTATCTTTCCTTTACTTTTGGTACCGCAATTTTAAAAAAAAATGTATCTTTTATCAAACATAATCATTAATCTGAACTGAGATCAAGGTTGGACAATATGTTATAAATTTGAGATTATTGGGTAAGTAGTTATAACGCCAAAA